CTTTCAGAGGCAACCTGAGGAAATACCAGCTGGCCTGATGCTCCACTAAATGAATTTATCCTCTAAGCAAAATTGTTAGTTTTTAGAACTTAGATAATAAAATAAATAGCAGAGTAGATGTATGCTGACCCAGTTCACCCAGTTCCCTTTCGCCTCAGCTCCCTCCCACCTCTGCTCCCTCCTGCTTATCGCTAACTGCCTCCGCTTCTGTACTTGCTTGCTTGCTCTTCCCCAAGGCTAGTGTCCTACTTGCTCTGTAAAAAACTGGTAGGGAGAAACTGAAGCTCCCTTTACCCCGTAAAACTATAACTGTTAAGAAAATAGGTATTGCACCTGGCTAACCGCTGATACCCGTCTCTGTCACAAGCTTCCTAGCTAGCATTTGTTTAACCCTGATTATAAAAGGGCTTGATTTCTGCTGCTGGCTGCTGCAGTTCTCCTCCGCTCAGAGAGGCTGCAGACCCTGTGCAGGAAAACAAAGTTCCACCAAATGTAAACCTTAAACCTCGTGTCCAAGTGTGGTTGATCTCAATGGGTTATAACAGTAGAGAATTTCCTTCCTTATTGCGGAGCAGTAAGTACTGGATGTTTCACGTGTTCACTGCTCAGAGGAACTTAGGGCACACTGTCAGGCTTGCTCTCTGAGCCAGTGTCTATAGAACTCAGGAAGAAAGGCCTGGGTCTCTGGAGATCATCCAGGCCTTGCCTGACCACCCCAAGGACTAACGTGATCTGCACTTCATGGCACACCTACAACCCTTTGGTGACAGTCCGTGGTGTGCTGCATACAAATTGGGTAGCTCAGGACTGTACTCCTAGGAGTATGACCTGAAATGACCAGTTGAGGATCTCAGAAGAATGCAGATTTTAAGCAGTATAAATGAGATAAAAGAACTGAGATTTATAGTCCTGGCAATTTGTGACATTTACAAAGCCAACAGGAAGGCATTTGCAAGCTGGAAAACAGATGGACCTGTGGTAACTTACTGAGCAGACCTGAGAAGAGAAAGCCGCTGATTTAAAGCAGAGTCATCAACAGAATTAGCAATAGGTTGCACCTTATGTCTTTAGAACTAGGAGAGAAGCTAAACTGAAGGAAAAGGTGGGAAACTGAAAAGTGAGAAATTGAAAAGCAGTTTGAGCTCCAATCCCCGCCCTCTCCAACCCAATGGACTGAAGACAAGGAATTTATTTCTTGGAAAAGGTAAGACTAGTGGTATTTGGAATGGGGATCAACCGTCACGAATGACAATGTTGTTGTCACGCAGAATGTGGGGGTACAGTGACTAGATGTATGTTGCAGGCAGGGCTAAGCCCCCAGGCTGTTTTCTCCACTGAACTCCCAGAACTGTACCTATCAGAGAGAAGATTGGAAGAGAACATTCTGGGAAAGCTGATCAGATCAAAGGCTAAGTACCAAGGATACTAAGACTTGTGCTTCATCAGTCACGTTGTAGAGATAAAAAAAAAAAAAACCACACACATGCTCAGTGTTTTCCCTCAAGCTTTTAGACTACCTCCTTCCTTCATCTCTTTTGTCTCTAGCCTGATCATTTTTATTCCTACCTCAGACAGTTTCTTTCGGAGCCCCGTGAGGAAGAAAATTCTGGCGGTCAGATTTGAAAGTTCCGGAGGCTCGACTGCTTTAGACCTTCTTCCTCAGTTTCTCTTGCTGTAGGTCCCTTGCACTCTCCCAACACATATTGCAGTTGGTTCTTAATGAACAAAAAGAATAACCAAACGGACTTACATTGTTTAAAGGAAAGAAGAATGGGAGGAAAAACTGACAAAGTTTCTGTCCTTCACCAAACGTTAGTCAGGTTCTTCTGAGCCCTCCAAGAGCCCAATTTTGTCAAGAATCTTGGTAAGTCATTTTAGCCAGAATCCTGACCCTTGATACCTGATTACCATTGATATCTAACCATATTCCTCATCCTCCATCAGCCCCCAAGTAGTGTCTGATCGCCTTGGCCTGCCTTCAGCAAGAATCCTGTTAGATTGATTTAATCAGTACCCCCAGCCCTCTTGCTTCCCCTACTCATTTTTCATCCACTGAGCGCCTTCCCCAGCACACAGTTTGGCTATAAATTCCTACTGTTTCTTGTTATATTTAGAATTGAGCCCAGTTCTATACTGAGATCTCTTTTCTCCAATTGCGCTAGTTCCTGAATAAAATCTATTTTTATAGCTTCAACTACTATCTGACTCTGGATTTTCTTTGACAAATGGAACCATCTGTGTAGAAAGGTTAAGAAGAGAGATTGCACAAGACTCTTTAGAAGAAATTATTTTATTGTTGAAAAGTCAAGTGGGAGAGAGTGTGGGAAACATCTTGTTCCATTTCAGAAAAAAGGTGTCAGAATAAAAGGAAATATAATTACCATTGGATATTCTATCGTCTTGTATTTAGTTGATAATTTTGGTTACTGATTGATTTCAGCTGAAAATGAGATGTACCAGGTAACTTTTTATTTCTAAAATTATGTTTTAAAATTAATTCAACTATTCTCTCTGCAAAGAGAACAAGTATATAAAGAGATTAAGGGGTTTGGTTTTGTTTCTGATACAACCAAGAATAGTCATTAAGTCAACAAAACATGGCGAAGTGATAAAGATATTAGGGAGATCTTTGGGATAGAATTCTATGATGAACTGAACTACAACACAGAAGCTAGTTTATGGACGGGTGGCAGAGCGACACATGATTTCAAAGAAATGAAACGCGATGTGCTAGTGTCTAACGTCCATGTAGAGAATGTCAATGATCCAATTAAGAAAGAATGTTGAGAATGTTGGAATCAAGTGAAAGCTTATAACGTCTCTGGTATATGGATGGGTGCCAGAGGAATCTGACCCAGCAGAAATCAAGACTAGGATTCCAGGAAATGATGCTGTAAAAGATGAAAGTGCAAAGGTAAGAGCCCCAGTTAGGCCCTCTCACGTACAATGGAGACTTAGAATAATTCCTAAATGCTCTAAAAACAGAAAATCCACCCTCAGGAAGGGAAATATCCATGCCATTTTTACATTGTATATCCTAGACTATCAGTATTCATTAGAGTCCTCAGATTATTCTCTTATTAACTCCTATCAATGAAAGCAGAGAAGACTCGGATTCTATTTTCCTAGTTGTGTACATCTCTTCCTTGAAACTTGTTACCGAGAAGTGCCATGACCCTACCTTCTCCCCATAATTAAAATCTAGCACTAGTTAAGTTAAAAGTAGAACATTCTTTAACACCATTGCTTTATCACTCTCAAGGCATTTCAGATTATTCATGCAGGTGGCACATCATGGGAGACCTTACTTGTGAACTTGGGGTTTCCTTAGATGAAGTTTTTCTTTAAAAAACCAAAATCTTCATTTGGTGAGGTCTCTGTAGGTTTTTAGCAGCATTTCTAATCCATATACTCTATCTCTTTTAACTATCTCTATCTTCATTAGTAGCAGCTAGAAACTTACAGATGGAAAATACAACAAAAGAGAGAACAAACTTTTATTGTTAATGTTTCTTATATTGCACAAATAGTATATAAACTTTGGAAAATATAGAAAATAAGCCAAAGAAAAAAAGTCACCTATACTCAAAACACTCAGAAAAATAACTAATACCATTTTAGTATAAACCTTATTACTTCTGTAAAAACCTTTATACTTCTTTTTTATTTTTATTTTATTTTTTATTACAGTTTGCATCTAATACTATGTGTCTTAGTTTTATGTGTACAGCACAACAGATAGACATTTACATAGATTACACAGTGTTTCCTCCAATAATTCAAATGCCCATCTGTTACCATAATTATTACCACATTGTTGATTTTATACCCTAAGTTTTACCTTACATGTTTGTGACTATTTTTTAACCTTCAAACTTTTTATGCATCCATAACTACAATATATGTACATACTTTAATTGGAAATTGGAACAAAGTCTGCTTTTCACATAACAAGGATCCCCTATCATAAACACTATTCTATTTCTTGTAACTTATATTTAAGTCTTTATTCTCAATGAAAGATAGAATTTTAATATATGGGTTTATCTATTTTTACTCAAGTACCTATTAATGGTCATAGGGTTGTTCTTAATTTTTCACTAGTGAAATAATTTTGTAACAACTATTATCCTGAATATATGTTTATAAACATGTACAATTATTTTCTTATGATATAGTGTTAGAAGTACAATTTCTTGATCAAATAATATGAAAATATTTTACCTTTAATTATTTATGCTGCTTCATTTCCCACTAGAAACTACACCAATTTATATTCCAAAGAATGTTGGGAAAAAAAGAATACAAGAATCAAAAAGGATTAGAGTAAGAAAAGAGGCCTAAAATATTTGTTCCTAAAACATTATGTATTTTTATGTGTACTATGCTTTGAACCAATGATTTTTTACTGTGTTATTGCAGAGAACATGCCCTCTGTTCCTCTACATTTGGCATAACAAGCACTATGTGCAAATACCTTTCACATTTAAAAATTAAAGCAGAGAGTCACTAAAATACCTTCCAATTGTTGCTTAGAATAAAAATTTAAATTATAAAAAAACCTCAGAAATTTATGAAAATAAGGATACTTCATGTAAAGAATATGAGATGTAACTAAAACCATTGTTGATTTAAAAATAAGAAAGACATTTAACTTGAGCAGTTAGACAAAAACAATAAACAAAAATCCCAATAGGATATAGACAATGATTATTACGCTCATAAACTTAAACTCAAAACCTACTAGGGAGTAAGAATTCAATTATGCAATAAATATATAAATGAGACATTGTGAATGAAAATTATAAGTATTTAATAAAGATAAAAGATGAAATTAATGAAGCATAAAATGACTAAAAATATGTAAAGTATTTTTGACACTAGTGTTTAAAGAAAGCTGTTGGATGCTTTATTTATTTATTTATTTTGTGAGAAATTGGACAGCCAACATTATCTTTGCTTATTTCTCTACTTTCTTTCTGTATTGCAGAAAACATAGGTCATCCTAAGAGATATGAAATTTAGCATCAAGAACTGAAAGGATCTGAAATTTTACCTTACTAGCAAGTTAACAAATTAGTCTGTCACTGTTTTATGGAAGCTGTTAGAAGAGTGAAATTCCTCAGTCAGGTCTAAAGAACTTTATTCAGGGCAACAGTAGAAGACAGAATCAGTATTTGCATTCATTCTGCAGGATCCAGATCCCACAGAACAATGTAAAGAGGGTTGGGTGACACCTGCGCACACAGTGGGGTGGGTTAGAAGACTGGATCCCTCGGTCTAGGGCACCTGGATCTTTTTCTGCATCTGTCTTCAGATAGAGCGGGAGGGAGAGAGGGAGGAAGAGAGAGAGAAATATCAACGTGAGAGAGACACACATGAACTGGTTGCCACCCACACGACCACAACCAGGGCAAGGACAAACTGCAACTGAGGTACGCGCCCTTAGCAGGAACTGATCTCGGGACTCTCTGGTCTGAAGCTCTAACCACTGAGTCAAATTGGCCAGGGCACCTGAATCTTTTTAAACGAGTGGTCATCCTACCCAGACTTTGCCCTAGATGGAGACAATATCTCTGTCTTCCAAGACCCTTTGCTACTTAAACATCCTAGAAAAGACAGTCTGCAGTCAAGTCAGTCAGTGCCATTATGTGTAGGATGAGCAGAAACGGGAGAGGCCCATGGAGAGGTCTCCTAACACGAAGATGGAAAGGAAACAGCATTATTAAATAGGCAGTAGTAAATAGGTGTATAGGGTTATGAAAGAACAAATGGACAGTTTTCCAGCATTTTCTCACTTTTCCTGTTGAGTCACCCACTTGGATACTGAAGGGAGCTAAGGAAAGACAAAGCAGTTTCTTGAAATGCCCCACTTCACAATTTTGAATCTAGCAGATCTTGGCTACCTCACTCAACCCAGATTTTCCACTGTTTTGTAAGGTCCTAATTCTCTCTGTTAAATCCCTACCTGGTTATCATACTTAGTGTGTGTTCTGACCACACCCCATCCAATACAATATATGACATAAGAACATGGATTGAGGAAACAAACTTTCACAGGAGGGAATCTGGGATTGGTCATTGGAAGGCATAAGACTTCATCATAAGTGAAAAACAGAATACTGGTAGTCCAAAGGAAAAAAAATGGTGAGTAGGAAATAAAGTGTCTATTGATGGCAAGTTCATGGCACAATCAGAGAAGCAAAATCTTTTCGAGATTGCTTTTTAAAAACATCAACACATTTTTAAGTAACTTATAGATATGGAGCTGCAAAATACAGAACCAGAAATAAGATTTGATTTTTATGAGTCACATATCTATAAGGCAAATGAAATTCTTAGCAATGTTCTTCCTCTTATGTGAAAGTTGGGATATTGATTAGAATAAAGTAGAAGTTTAAGAATTGGAATGGACACTTGCCAATGGATTTCAATGAATCTGAGGGGTTTAAACTGCCTACTTCCTCTGATCCTGACTTTGCATGGGAAGCAGCCCATCAGCCCCTGTCCGAAGACATTAGTCTCACTTTGCCTGGTGATTCTAAATTACTTCAGTGATACATCCCCTATAAGGCAATACCAATTCTGTTCAAGACCCACCCACACCACTTATTATTGCTTCCAGATTTGTAATTGGAAGCTGAGCACAGGATTTTGGGGGTGATTACAAAGTCTAATCCAGGAGAAGATGGCATACCTGTTTAAAAAAAAAAAAAAAAAAAGCAATGCAATGGTTTCCAAATCGTTATTCACAGAAACCAGGGAAGAATGTTGGAATGTTGGTAAAAATACTTCTAAGGGTTTTACAACAGGACAAAACAAAACTAATTATAAATGTGACTGGATTACTGATTGAGTGTCCTTATCAGACATCCTGGAGTGTGTTACTGCAAGCAGAAAGGAGTGACTCCTACAGTTCACCCAGTCTGTTGACTTAACTCTGAACATATCAGTGACCTATATTAAATAAGTATGAGGTCCCTGGCCAGTGTAGCTCAGTGGTGGAGTGTCAGAATGCAGACCAAGGGTGGGGGGTTTGATTCCTGGTCAAGGGCACATACCTGGGTTGCAGGTTCCATCCCTGGTTCCATCAGGAAGTGTGTGGGAGGCAACCAATTGATGTGTCTCTTTCACACTAATGTTTTTTCTCTCATTCCCCCTCTCTCTCTCCTTTTCACTCTTTCTAAGAATCAATGGAAAAACTGTTTTTGGGTGAGGACTAACAAAAGAATAATAATAGTAAGTATGAGGTACCAGGACTTCCTTAGTATAGTGTAGACTAATGAATCTAAAAGCTTAAGGAAATAATAATGTTGGAGAGCATTAATCACAGGAAACATTCACAAATATGCCCTGACTCTATCCTGAGGAGAGTGTAGAGAACACTTTTTTCATCAAAGCGTTGAGCATGTTGATGTTTCCAGCATCTTTGGAAAGCATGGTGGCAGCTGCTCTTTCAGGCTGGGGAATACTGTGTGAAATACTGTCACTGAAATAGACTCCCTGGGTTTAAAGGGTGGAGGCATCTCAAAACGGCAGAAGCCAAGTGGCAGCATTTCCCAGAGACAGGGAGGCACAATTACTGTAAAGGCAGAGGGTGGAACAGAGTAGCTTGACTGAGAGTCTAAGTCTTGATAATTGGCCAGTCTACTAAATTTTACTTGATTTTCATAGCATGTACTTGATCTGGATGCTTAATAAGAAGTATAGGTCTCACGATCAGAGATTTGGATTAAGTCCCTACAACGAAGAGTCAATTCACTCAAACCCCCAATTTGATCCAGTTCACAAATCCAAAACCTTTGGATAAAGAAAAGGCAGTTTCTCTTGAGAAAGATCCCAACAAAAAGTTGCCATGCATGCATACTATAAATACTCCTGTTAGTCTTCCAAAGAGTGACTGAGGCCATTTACCAGGGTGACCATATACTAAATAATGGGAATGCCGGGGATGCCTCAAATTTCTAAAAAAAATTCTGATCTTGGTCCTGAACTGACATGAATAATATGTAAGGCTTCAATGTGATTAGATAATATATGGAATTTTGGCCAATATCCTTCGGACACCTCGTGCTTATTCTTCCTGTCCCTTTATGCTGTATGCAGAGTTGGGATAGACATAGCCAGCTGTCCTGGCTCTCCGACCTGTCGGATAGGACCACGATAGTAGAATGGGAAAACGAGAGCTGAGAAATGCTCTTTTCTACCAAAACATAAAGGAAAATTAATGCGAAATCATGGGCAATTGCAGAGGTTTTTACCACTATCAAATATTTGAAAAGTGCAGGAAAAATGAATTTTTAAAAAATTACATTCTCATTTAGAAAATATGTGGATCTTGTAGAACATAATTTGATTGTCATGAAATTAGTCATGTAGTGACTCTAATTTTAGCTGCTGTTCCAGATCAATTATATCAAAGTAAAACTAACTCAGCTCTAAGTACTTATTTTACAGCTATTTATTTAATTATTTTTTTTCTTTGTTGATTTTAGAGAGAGAGGAAGGGAGAGGGAGAGAGAGATAGAAACACTGATGAGAGAAAACATTGATTAACCACCTCCTGCATGTCCTCTACTGGGGATTTGGCCCACAACCTGAGCATGTGCCCTGACCAGGAATCCAGTCCATAGGCTGAGCTGGGCTATAGCTATTTAGCAGTAAATTTTTGTCATCTTACCTTAGGGCTGTATCAACTCTTTTGCTTTCTGTCATCATCGATTCTACAGGGAACCATCACACAGGATATCACATTCATCCCAACTGACTTGTTAAAACACGTGTACCAGAGGATGAAGAAAATGATGATGGGAATTCAGGGACCTTGGTAGATTTTCTAGGGTCCAATGGGATGTATTGGGTATGTCAAGATACCCCATCCAGAATGAAAAAATATTATTGCTGCTTAGACTACCACAAGAAAGAGTCATAATTCTTGATGGAGCTCTTGATTTTAGAAACAGCATATACCACATTTCAGTATCCTACAGTTCACTTACCAAGTAACACCTGAAGTTGCTGGTTTTGAATGGGGTCCTCAAGAAGAGGAAGTGATGTCATTGGTTTGGACCAAATTACACGCTGCTTTGCCATTTAGAATTTATGAACAGCACATTCAGTCAGTGCTCAAGATGTCTGTGGAAGACAGGTTTTCTCTATAGCATCCTGGGCAAGACTTGACAGGTATGTGATAGAATGTACCTCTATGATTTTTTTTTTAAAGTACCTATTGGGATTTTTTTTAAAGTACCTTCACAGTTAACTTTCTCCTTTTAAGAAATAGCCCCTGGCTTGCTTTTCAGCTCTGAGAGTGATAGGACATAAGCTGACCATGCTACCTAAGTTTCCCATCACAATCTGGGTGTTATGTCATTCCAACCATAAAGATGAGCATGCCCGGCATCCCTCTATCATCAAGTGGAAGTGACGTATGAAATCATGTTAAAACAAGTCATGAAAGCACAAGAAAGTTGCATAAGCTGGTGACTCAGACTTTGAAAGCATCGACTTCTTCCTCATTGTCACTTTTCCTTCAACGCTAACATGTGGACTCCCAGGCAGTAGTTTTCTGTTACCAGTTGTCTGAAGCAGAAACATATTTTCAGATTTGGTTTAGAGGTAATTCTGGATGATATAGGCTGCTACTAGTTTGACGTGAACTGCAAGTGTATTATAGCCCCATTTAGGAGGGTCATATAAAGTTTGTGAGGATAAAAACCTTCCCAGTGGATAAAACTTTAAGAAGTACACCGTACTTTTAATTTTACCTTGACGGGGCAATGGCCAGAGGTACAGATGGATACAAGTTCATAAGCCAAGACTGGATAATTACAGGCTAAGTGACTAAGAGAGAAGCTTGATGGTTCAGAAGAATAGGCAAAGTGCATGTGACTGCTCATGAAACCAACACGGAGAAAACACTCAATAATATTTGTATACACCCCATTCTGTGAAAATCAGGTTGACTTGTTTTTTAGTCATTCCAGTGCTTAATCACTGGACTCATGAACAAACCACCGGAATAAGAATGAAGTCTAAACAACACAAGTTTTTATTCCAAAGCTCATGTGGCAAATACCACTGCTGTCTGGTTAACCAACCAACAGCACAGAGCAAATAGGACCCCAAATATAGCATCATTTCCTAGTGGGACTAGTGAGCCACTCAGTGACAGAATGATTACATTGGACCTCTGCCATCCTGGAAGGAGAAAAATTGTTCCCTTTAGAAAATATACTTAATTTGGCTATGAATTATACTTCCTCTTCCACAATACTTCTTCCAGCTTTACCACCTGTGTATTTACTGAGTACCTTCTTCTTTATATTGGTATCCCACATAATATGGCCGCTGACCAAAAAGCTCATTTTACAGCAAAGACAGTGACTCATATCTATGAGACTCACCGGGTTTACCATGTCCCACACCATCCAGGAGCCGCTGTCCTGATGGAATGGCGCAATGTTCCATTGAAGAAACATTACCTGCTGGGAGGACAAAACACCACAATTTACAAATAAAAACTTGCAAGTTTGAGGTGCTATCCAACATGACATAGTGTATATTCTGAGAACGACTGATAGCAACAGTAACCAATACATGACTCTGTTTCTACGCTCTCATCAGTGTGGGGGTCGTCCCCCCTTTTCCTGTTACTTCACTGAAGTATTCACTAAAAATTTTGTTTCCCATTCCTGTAATTTTGATCTCTGCTGGATTAAGGAGTTCAGTTCTCACAAAAAGACGGTTCTATTCAACTGGAAGTTGAAAAGTCCACTGAAACATTTTGAACTCCTCAAGCCACTTAAAGGACAAAGTAGGAGTTTAATGTCTGGATAATTGATTCTGGTTATTTAGGAGCAAGGAGGCTGCCTGTTGTATATTCTGGGGCATTCTTTCATTAGCACCGTTGCAGCTGCTGCTGCTATTACTACTAATAACAATTCAGAAATAACATTTGCGTGATCCAACCAGGTAAAGAACAACCACCAGATCAGAAATGCTGGTTGAGACAAGGAGCTAGAACTGGACCCTGGAAGAAGGAAGTTGTAAAGCCCAACTCTGTTCTCATGACTAGTTGCTACGTGTATTTTCCTCTTGTTTGATTACATATGCAGATGATGGCAAATGCTGACTGAAATAGGAATTAAAAGTTAAAAGTGTATTATTCAACATTCACAAAACTACAAGTGTCAAAAAAACGTAATTAAGCCTTGAAATAACATTGTTCTAAATAACTTCTGAAGTTATTAAATGATGAAACCTTACTAAGATTTTTTAGGATAACTTGCGTGCGAGTGTGTGTGTTTGTGCACTAAATAAATAAATTAAATTATTTTTCCCTCTGCTTTTACCCTACTATTTTATATAATGTATTTTGTTGCTTGTGATTACCCTTAGAATCACTCAAAGAGTGATTATACAGTAGGTATGCATATTTTTCTTTACTTTCTTATGTATACATTTTTATGTATAAATTAATTTTTCCTCTTTCCTTTCTGTTTCCCTTACCAGGGAAAAAATAAAGTTATTGACGAATTCTTATAACTGCCACTGGAAGTCATTGTTCATTATTTCTCAAGATTTACAGGAACAAATACAAACATTGGCAACAGGGAAGAAACATTCCTGTCTTCACTTGAGGGAACTATAATCTGTTTCCAGGCTGCATCCTGCATTCTTTCCCTTAAATGTTTTTCCAGGGTGTTAGAGAGTCCCAGAACCCTGGTGATCTTGCCAAGAACAAATTGTGAAGTAGTTGCTGAACCCATTACCTACTAAGATGTTGTTGTTCATCTTAATTTGACAAAATACAAATCCTTGGCCAAAAAAATGTACTTCCTTAGGGAATAAGGGACTCTGAGTAATTCTTAGAAGGCTCCACTGTAATTACAGCCTCCTTTTGGCCAGAGGGTAAATCCTGGATTGAGTTTTTGAAATATTATTTTAGCAATTATTAATTAGTTCAAGAAGAGGGTATATATATATGTCTACACACACACACACACACACACACACACACATACACATACACACAGTTAAATTGCTACTTTTCTGTGTTAAAACCCTGTAGAAGGTTTAATCTGTTATGAATTTCTGAGAAGTCAGGGGCCAGATAAAACTAGCTCAAGTGTTTGGGATAAGCTTTTCTAAGAAATGTGACCACATAGATATAAATGAGAAAAGCATCTGTAAAAGGCAGCAGGCACCACAAACAGCTGCCACGGAAAACCAGAAGGCTCCTCGGTCTTCCCGGTGTGCACGCAAACACAGGTAAGACCAGAAAGAAAGACATTTCTATCCATGCAATGCTTGCATTTATGCACATGAGCAAACAAAAAAGGAGGCATGGGAAACATCTGAAACACTGCTCAGTGCTTAATAACTTGGTCTAATTATCAAAGTCATAAACTATATGAACTGCCCTCATTTATGCTGAATCTCTTCAGAGGCACCCCAGCGGCTCAGAGGCTGTGGCTAGACTCCAGCACCTCGAAGAACGGGGACCTTGTGCTCTCCAGTGCCTGCAACCCTTGAGGACAAAAGCCAGGCCAAGTGGAGAACACTATTTATTTGAGCCCCCTCCGAGGCAGGAATGCAGCGTGTTGGGGTGTAAGCAGGGACTCTCGTGGAGAGGGTAGGAGAAGGATACATTTACCCGTGCTCTGGAAAAGAGACAGCTGGTTATACATTTTTTACAACCACACTTGTTCCCACAGCTAGTGGCATTAGGAATCATCTCTAAATTCTATTGTCATTTATTAAGGATCGACATTTAGACATTGTAACTAGTGTTTAAAAAATTTTTAAATAATGTTTTCTACCTGATTTTTTTCTAATCTAATTATAAATAACCAATACATTTGTGCTTAAAATGTAAACTCTTTCTTATTAAGAGAACACTAAGAGGATTTCACAAATACTTATAGTCCAGTGGGTCAGACATCAATAAAACCAAAAGCACACCAAAAATTTTATATTTGTTGTATAATGTGTAGAATTTTATTATTTTGATATGTTAAATGCATTTCAGACTGCCTACTATAAGAATATGGTAAATCATATTGAAATAAATTAAACTTAAAAATAAATCTGACGTTGCCCTGGCCCGTTTGGCTCAGCGGTTAGAGAGTCAGCCAGAGAGACTGTGGTCCAGAGAGACCTGGGTTCGATTCCTGCTAAGGACGTGTACCTCGGTTGCAGCTTGTCCCCCGCCCTGGTTGGTCGTGAGGGTGGTAGCCACTCTATGTGTCCCTTTCACGTCGATGTTTCTCTCTCCCCCCCTTCCTCTCTCTCCCTCCCACTCTATCTAAACAAAACATGGAAGAATGTCTTTGGGTGAGGATAAAAATAAATAAATAAATAAATAAATAAATAAATAAATAAATAAATAAATAAAAATAAATCTGATGTTAAGTTTAATATATTTCACTGTTGTATTTTCTTTTGTTTGAACCCCAAAACATTTTATTTTCTCTTTTACCTTGATGAAAGATTATCAGTAGGATTACTTAAAAATTATAAATTATATAAATACATTAATAAATTCTGTGTTTCAGAAAAGATTTATCAGCAGGAGATATCTATAATTATTATTACATCATGAGAATATTTCCAAAGTACATCTCCAATCTATTCAAGATGAAAAAAACTTTTATAAGGCAAAGTTGTCTTATTTTTAAGTAAAAATTTCACTGAGAAGCAAAGGAGAATGTTGTCTTTTTAAATTAGCAAAACAAGGAGTGGGCAAATGGAGATTTTAAAAAGGAAAGGCACCATTAACACTTTGCAGTTTGAGGTTTCCCAGATGTATTTCTGCTTCTTCAATCTGGGGGTTTAACTTCTTGTACCTCACTGGCATAGGGTCATTATATCATTGTCATCTCATTTTCATGGGTACAGCAGCATGGTGAAGTTTGGGGAAGACTGAAAATTTTCAATGGAGGTTGATCATGAAAAGAGCACTCTTTAAAAAATTAATTTACTTTATTTATTTTTTTGAAGCAGACTTTTATTTACCAAAAAAAAAAAAAGAGTAAATAGTACAGTTTCCCTGTATTCCTTACACCCACCCCCACCAGTTTTCCTATTTTTAATTAGTTACATTACAGTGGTACATTTGCTACAACTGATGAGCCAATATTGCTACATTATTACTAACAAAAGACTAAAGATCACATTAGGGTTCCTTGTGTCTTATAATCTATGTAGTTTGGTGAGTGTGTAGTGACATGTATCCACTATTACAATATCATAAAAAATGAAAGCTTCATGGTTATATTGTGTTTCATTTAACATTTTAAAAGCAACTACTGAACACATGTTAGGTTAAAATAGCTTTCACTTTGTGCCAGCTATTCTTCAACTGCCCCTCCAGATGGGTCCTTCTCTGCATCCTGCTCGGTCACAGGTGGTGACCTCTGCAGGATGTATCACTGACCCACTTCTGAACTGTGGTTGGGTTTGTGTGGGAGACTATTTGCATGGCATCCATTTTGTTACAATCTGCTCTGCCATCTCCTGCCCCAAGGCAGGATACCTCTGTATACAATGTTTCTGCATTCCTTTAAGTAACCATTTACTCAGCCAGTTATGCTCTGTTTATCTTTTGTTCCACCCGGGATGTTTACCTGAAATTGCTTCAGGGTGGTTACCACAAACTTATCGCTTGGCAACAAATGTTCTTATTTTTCTGCTTCTTGCCCTATATATAGTGTGGATCTCCCCAGAATAAACAGACTTGATCAGAGCCCTGTCTTGTCTCCATTTCTCGTGTCTCTTGTCCCTCCTCATCCTCACTCCCCCTCTAGAGTCCTCGCTGCTCAACCTGCGGGTCGGATCAGGTTTGGTTAGTGCGAGTTGCCAGCAGATGATCAGAGGAGAGAGATGGAGGTGTTTATCCTCTGCTTTCTCTTTGGTAAGTTATGGTTTACATGGCTATGTCTCTCTACCTATGGCTGCAATTGAGGCCGCTCTTCCACAGGTCTACTTTTCATCTGGTTCTAAAAAAGATTTCTCTCCTGACCCCTCAAAGCTAGAGGTAGTAACTCATTCTTATTTTAATTGGTCCTTGGTGCTTTACCAGCCCTTGTTGGTTTCTTTTCACTGCACACACTTTGTAAATAGAGCCTTTACTAAATTTTCCTCAGTTTCCCCTTGATTGTGCACCTATCTGTCTTCTGTAGAAAACACATACATCGATCTCACTGACTTTTTACGATATTTTTAGGAATTCTAGCTTGTAACCTTATCTTTGTTTTATATAGTGTTTAAGGAACTGAATCCTAGAAGAGTCAAAGCATTGCCCAAGGTCACAGACTATGTTGAGCCAGTGCTAACATAACAGTCAGGGGTCCTGACTTTTTGTATAGACATCTCCCTAAGCAAAGGAGCACTTGGAAAAATGTTTTGCTTCTGTGTTTTGTTCATCATTTTCTAATAAGAGAAATCAATAAAAGAAACAAATCTATCTATTTTCAGAACACTGAGTTTCTAAAAGAACTGAATTATTTAAAAGGTGATGTGGATATCATTTGGGACCATGTGTTAACTGTCATTATCTGTGGAATTTGGATGGCAGGATAAGGAGTATAAAATATATTAGCATATATTTACATATGCATGAAAGAACATGGCTTACATATAAAAAAAACAGGGGTTCAAAGCTTTATTCCAGAACTCATTTAATGGCTGGGATGGCCTATATAATGTCTATATTTATCATTTAGTAAATATCCATGTACTTTTCATAGAAAGAAAAATATTTAATTTATGTGGATGTTTTGCTGAATGTGGAAAAATCTCATGTAATTTAGGATCATCAGGTGTTATTTTTAAAGACTTTAGAAAATTGATAAAGCAATAACCAACTAATTGAGGCCTTGGATTTCAACAAAGTAATTGACTATGCCCTCATACTAATCTACGGCCAAGCTAGAGAAATATGGCCTGGGTAAGACTAAATGGAAGTTCTGATAAATGTGGCAGTGGAATGTGGGGATGAATTCAATAAATGGATCGCTGTTAGGAAGAACAGTTAGCTAAAACGCTATGGTAGTGATTCTCAGCCTTGGCTATACTGTTGACTTGCCTGGGTAGCTTTAAAGAATACCCACATGTAATTGAACCAGAATGTAGTCCTAGCAGTGAGCTCTTTTAAAAATTTCCTGCGATTCAAATGAAAGAAGAAATCAAGGATAGATTCCTTGTATAGATTCAGGACACTCTGTGTTCTGAAGAAGAGTGTGTGTGTGTGTGTGTGTGTGTGTGTGTGTCTAGCATTCTAGACATGAGCAACAACATAAGTAAAGACATAGAGACTAGAAACTATAATGCATGATGTCCACAAACTGAATTTCATTTGGGGGGAGTAAGTTCGTGGTAGTGAGTGACTGATAATGATATTTTAGAACATTTTCTATGAAGAAAATGAGGGGATTCTTTTTTTTTTATCCTCGCCCGAGGACACTCTTCCATTTTTTGTTCAGATAGAGTGGGATGGAGAGAAAGAAGGAGAGAAACATCGATGTGAAAGGGACACATTGAGTGCCTACCACCCGCAATGTGTCGGGGACAAACTGCAACCGAGGCATGCGCCCTTAGTGGGAACCGAACCCGGGTCTCTCTGGACCACAGGGCAGTGCTCTAACCGCTGAACCAAACTGGCCAGGGCGAAAATTAGGAGATTCTTAATCTCAGAGCATCTTTAACCAAAAATCAGAGATTGCTGTCTACCGCAGTTGAATTGCTCTTTTGGCTCTTAACCTCTGTTGGTTAAAAAGACAAATTTGGAGTTACTATTGCTAAAATTGACCCCTTTATATCACCTTGAAATAATAGAGAGCTTTCACTTCCAAAAAATTTATTGTACATGCACAGATGACTATGCATTTAAAACCTAGCTCAATTAATTATATGAATGGAAGAAAGATGTGGTTTGTCGAATTTTAAAATACAACTAAAGTGTGGGTTTCATTTTGCTTTCAAAATGTCAGTTTCAGCTCTCTTTAAGGAACACAGTGGTGA